TATATAATTCATTATAAAAATATTTTTTTTAAAATCTACAAGAACTATGCCAAGTATTTCTTTCAGCGCACGAAAAATTTTCAAATTGGTTGATACAAAATACATACATATATGATGCAAAAAGGATTACAAGTATTAATAGTAATTAAATATACAAACAGATTCGTTGATAACTTGTAGTTTTGTATAATAATGTATAAGGTCTATAAGAACTATGACAAGTATTTTTTTCAGCGCACGAAAATTTTGCAAATTGGCATAAATTATGCACGTTGTCTAGAGCATGGTCTTTCATCCAAATGTTTGGCATTGTTGTCAGCCACCCAAAATAAGAAGAGAGAATGAAAATAACTATTTGCAATGAAGTTGGTGCTTAGTGGAATCAATTAGACTGGACAGAGATTTGAATAGCAGCCAAGTAAGTCAGTCAGTCAGTCAATCAGTCAATCAAGTCAGCCAGTCAGTCAGTCAGTCAGTCAGTCAGTAAGCTGTAGTTGTACTTTGACCCAGTCGCTGAAAATTAATCCGCTTACACATGTACATATCAACTAATAGGTACTCGATTTCAATTCAATCAGCCTGAGGCGGTATTACGACTGGTTCCGACAGCGACTGCGACTGATAAGACGCTGACTATGAACCCAACACTCATTAAGCAAGCCAACAACAGCAACAACAACAACAATAACAACAGCAACAACAATTGCTAAATATAATAGCTGATGAAAAAAAGCACATGCTCTATTGTGATTAATAGAGAATAATCACACACCTACACCTACTCTTATATAGGTAGACTAAACATGATTATCCCATACACTGTCCCATAATTGCTTCGCATGCGCTCAGATTAAAATAAACGGAAAGTGAAATATACCTGAACCTTGCCAAATGGAGCTGGACTTTAAACAGCCAATGCGCGTATGCAGCCGATTGTTTATAGTTATATTCTCATATAATTAACAATTATGTTTATTATATTTGCTATATGCTACGTGTATATATACATATGTATATGTATATATGAATATTGATATTTTGTTCCTGCAGTTGCACCTTGATATCTGCACAAGGTTCTGCCCAGGTTAAGAGTGCTGCAAAAATACAAAACACTCTTCAAAAATATCGTCGCGCATTGATAAGCTACCTATACATATATATTTTATTTATGTACAATTTATTTATATTTATTTGTATTTCTTTTATATTTATGGGAATTGTTGATGAATGTATGTGAATGTGGGGATTCCCATTTATGAAAATATTGTTTGTTGGTTTTTGTGGAGAATGTATGCGTCACTATTTATTTGTATTAAATTAGAACACAGCTATGATTTGCTWAAATTGTATTGATTAAGGTTGATGTAATATGTACATGTGATGTGTCGCGCTGAAGCTTAAGAAGTGTCTATATGTATTCTTATTACTAATGATGGTAATTGAGAGATCATGTTTTATAGATAGTATCGATCGAGAATTATTGTGATGCCAGATCGCCACATATTGAAATTATTTTTGATTTTGTTTGGTTTGCAATTTTAATACGTGTTCGTTGCTGGTCGTTGGGCGACGTTTGATACATCCACACACACGCACACACACACACACACATACATACACGCATCTACCTAGAGCAGCACCCACCTTTTAACGTGTTGTGTAACTGAGTGTACCGGAGTCTATGTAGGTATGTGTGTGTGTGTGTGTATGTGCATGCACATATACATATGTATATGTGTGTGTGTATGTGCAGCCTCTGGCAGGCGTGCATTTAACCTTTGGGTCTTGATAACCTTCGCAGCTCGTGCCCAGCTCTGGCATTGCAAAATAATATATATGCACATATAAAATACATATGTGTATATAATATATGTATATGTATATGTCTATATAGATGCCAGGAAACATTTTGACATTTTGGTATGCGAAGCGATCTTAATTAATCGGCTTCAATCTCGATCTGCCCATAAATATTTCGGCTAAATAGGTACATGATATGATATATGATAGCAATATGAAATATATGCATGTTTAGTAACTTTTTTTTATAAGAAAGTGGACCGAGCACAAGACTAGGATTAATATATTTCCACATGACTCTGCAAAATATTTAAGTCTTGGAAATGAAAAAGATAAGAGAATGGCCTATCTGAAGCATCTGGAATTTATTCTCTTTTTTAATTAAATTCAATTGTTTTTTTTTTTTATATTTAAGCATTATATTTTATAACATAAATAAAGAACAATTATTTAAAAGAAATATATAATAATACGTATTCTGCATCCTGTTAGCTTTGAGATGACCTGTTCAAGCAATTTTCTTGATAAAATAATTATATATACAAATTTGTTATATAAGGTTCTTCGGGGTCTTCAGCCATACGATTGGCCAATCTAATGATTCCTGTTCTCCAAGCCGACGAAAATATATATTTATAAATGATTACCATAATGTGGCTTTGGTGGTTACAGTTTTATGCCACAAACAGAAATAGGGAATGCAATTGACGGTTATGACAGACTAGATTATACCCTGTAGCCACAGATGTGTTCTTGGTTTTAGCCAGGAGCAAGGTTTTTAAAGAGAGCAGCTCTAGTGTTAGCTCAACGCAAATTTCTTTAGCTTTTGTGAGAGATATGCTCAAATAATTGAATTTCGATGCAAATGTAGTATTTATAGATATATATTTAAGATTTCTGGCTGTTATGGAGTAATCAAACAGTGATATGGACAGTGCTCAAATGCCTCGGCTAATAATGCTGTAAATATGTTAATGTGTTCAGTCAAGCCTGAGTCCAATATACCCGAAACACCAACTTTCAAGAAGGTAATGAGCATAAAAAGTAGAGTAAGAAAGGGGTAAACTCCATTCGCATAGCTCAAAATTTATTGCCCTGCACTGTTTGACTTATTAAACGCAGCTAGGCATGAATATTGTGACCAATATTGTGAGATGCTCTATCACACACACACACATGTACACACTCGTACTCATACAGACATAGGCTGGCAGGTGGGTTGGCACATTGGAAATATGCTTTGAGCCGCAATTTGCATTTGTTGCTCGCTCGCACGCCAAACATAATTGTGACTTCTTTTCTGGCCAGGGCAAAGGGCTTCGATGAGTCGCGAAGCCAATCAATTTTTCGGTTGCCAGCGGCAACGTGGAATTTGTTAATTCAATGTTTATTTTACATCCACCTAACTCCCCCAGGAGCTAGGCAAACGCCAAGTAGCAGCCGATCATCGGGCGTGGACTGTCTGACTATCCGTCCGTTCGTCCGTTTGTCTGTTTACTTCGAAAGCGAATCCACTGGCTTCCTTATGTAAATGGGCGCGCACAGGCATTGGGGCTCAGTTGCTGCTGTTCCACGAACCTCGACAGTTCTAAGGACTTTCTAACCATTCCGATTTGTTTTGCTTTACGACCAAAACGAGGCGCATGTGATTTAGTTGCGTATTTCCGCATTTTTGCCAATTTGTGTCAATTGTTTGGAACTGTGAAGTGGAAGTGGAACTGCGAAACGCGAACTTGCAAGTGGG